GGATAGATTCTCAAACAAAGTAGCCCATCACTACACAGAACAAGCTAAAAGCAGGATTTGTTGGATGCAGCAGCAAAGGCAGCATGTATTGGCTTAAAATGATATACGGAATCAGAAAGCTAGGCTATGCAAGGCTTTAGATTCAAAGACACAAATGTATTTTAGAGCATGTGAGAACACACAGTGAAGTTGTCTGAAAATTTTTCAACGCATATTTTTCCTGGAATTATGTAGCAACTGCAGAATTGCAAAAGGTATGTTCATTTTAAGGAATAGACAAATGATACATGAGTGTCTTCATGTGCTCCAAAGCCTCTTTTTGCCTTCAAATCTGCAGTCCTAATAAAATATATATTTTATAATTAAACCATATGCAATTCCTATCATACTATCATTGAAAATACTCCTTTATTTGCACACCATTTTGCCTACCCTGTGTTTATTATTGGACCATATTGAGGACAGCTGGACAGATTCACTAAAGATTTAACTATTTTTTAATAAGATGAAAAGCATTGGAAACATTAAACATTTCAGTATGATTTTTCAATTGGAATAAATATATTAGTGAAAAAGAAACAATTGAGAGTTATACCTGGAAAGGCTTTATTCCAACTCCACCTTTGTTTTTTTTCTTTACTACATCTATGAGTTTGTTGACAATCTGGTCAGAAACATAGTCTACATGTCTGCCACCCTAGAAGAAAAATCATTTTTTAAAAGGGGATATTACATGTATTTTGGCAATGCAGACATATCAAAGTATAAAAGTTGTTGTTAGTACAGTAACCTAAAATGGGGCGTTGGTTCTTACCTGATACACCCCTTCTCTAGGCAGGTGGAGACAGCAGCCATGTGTGGGTTAATTTAGCCGGAACCAATAGGACTGAGTCTACTAAATGATGGCATCATCTCTGAGGAGTGTCCTCCCGCTTTCTTGACGAAGGAGATAGGTAGACTGCTGTATAATAGTTGACTGCTCTCATCCCTCTATGTTCAGGTGACCCCCCCCCCCAAAGTCCCTCCACGACCTAGGCCAGTCCCAAGAAGGGTGGGGATGGCTGCTGTCTCCACCTGCTTAGAGAAGGAGCTTATCAGGTAAGAACCAACGCACCATTCTCCAAAGTTGGTGGAGACAACAGCCATGCGTGGAACATACCAAAGCTGTGCCTGTCTCCGGGTGGGAATGTGAGTGGCCTAGGTGTTTGAGGAGGGGAGCACTTGCTGAAGCACATGTCATCTCAAGGCTGCATCGGCTGATGCGTACCTATCCACCTTGTAGTGGCATATAAATGTCGTCGGGAGTAGTCCAAGTGGCTGCCCGGCAGATTTCCTCCAGAGGCCTGTGTGGATTATGCATCCGACGTTGCAGCGCTGCACATAGAATGTGCAGAAATGTTGTCCGGAGGTGTGAGATGATGCGTTAGATAAGCACGTGATACAGCTGATCTAATCCAGTGCCCAATCATTGATGAAGATGCCTTAAGGCCTTTATTAGTANGCGTTCTGGACTAGCTGAAGTCGCCGGATGCTCTTCAAGGGCAGCCCCATGTAGAGCACATTGCACATTGATGATGCCTAATTTGAATAATGGTATGTCTGCGAGAGACTAATCAAGTTCAGAGAGCATCAAGGACATCCCGCCTCTATAGAATCCATGCCTTTATAAGTTACATTTTCCAATTCAACATCTTTGTCCCAAGAGACATGGTCAAGAAATGATCACTTTACTGAGAGATAAAATCATTGTTTCTCTTAACAGATCCTGGCACTGAACAAGGGAGACATCGTACTGGTCTGAGTGACCATATCCTAATCATTCTAAAAACTGAGATTACATCAATAGACACAGTTGAGAACCTTACACAAACAGCTACTCTTAACTTTTCTAGATAAATTGTTTCTCATTAATTTCTATATACATCTCAATATTCCTCAACCGCATATTTTTGAAATTTGGGGAAAAGAAGAACATTACATTGATGCTCTTCAATTATGTTTTCCCACTGCTCATATTGTCACTGAAGGGTCTTCAATGCCAGACTAGTCGCCATGGGCGAATAGGTGGCAATATAAATTCAACAAACAAACAAACAAACGATAATCAGCTATTTGCTAAAGTTCCACCTAATTTGCAGACTCCTCCCCCAAAATTATAAACTCTAAGTGCCACACTGGACATTAGATATACATATGTTTGACCATCTCCAGACCCAACTCAGGAACAAATCAAACTCTTCGTCAATTGACAAAATTATCTGTACTTAGAAAAACAATGAGATGCCCAAGGACATTGCACCAAAGAAATTCCTATTAAGAGAGAAATGAGACAAGGATGTATTCTAGCTTATCTTCTCTTTAATATATATTAGTTCCCTTATTGCCAAACTAAATAGTCAATCTCTTTATTTGCTAAAACTGGGAGAAACACAACTCTATTCTTTTGTATGCAAACAACCCTATGCTGCTTTCTCAAAGACTGGCTTGAACTAGGTGTTCTAAATATTAGCTGAGCACTGCCAAAAACATCTAATTACACTAAAAACAAGGTCACAGTCTTTGCTAAGCACTTAAGATGCGTGTCTATCTAATAGAGCAAGTCAAAACTTTTGAATATTGGGGATTGTTTCCCAAGATATGGGTAACCATAAATGGCATGCCAACTAGTCATTTGCATTAAAAACGTGTTGGATTTACAAATCTTTTACTTCTCCAAAGGAGTTCAACATATACTTTAGCTAAGTTTTCTGAGTCCAGCTCCGTTTTGGAGCTCAGTTGGGCCCCTACAGGTCATTCCTTTCTTTGGAAAAAATGAGTCCATGTGTTTGAGAACCAACTTTAAAGCGCCTTGCTGTGTTTCAAACATGGTCCTGCGCAATTAAACTGGTCTTCTTGAAATTGAAACTTCTGCCTGGATTTACATCTTCTTCTATTGGCTTAAGCTCTTCTTTCCAATTTGTTTGGCTCTCTTTTATTATGACTGACAGCTTTCAGTGCTCCTGGAGGCAATACATGCCAAATTGCAACTCTATGATTATTTATGACCAGCCATTATCTTGATGGGTTACAAAGTGCTCTAGTGGTCCCCTTCCTTTGCAGCTTGGTGGAGTGGAGGAGGGGAACTGGCCTGGGTGAGCATGGGGGCTCGACTTGTGCAAGTTAAGCTGCATGCAAGCCCGCTGAATGTGCAGCCCGGTTGTGAATAGGCCGTGGCCCAGGGGTTAGGGATCCGTGCTCTAGCTGATCTCAAACAGCGGGCTATTGATTTAGAGTTGCAAGCAGATTTTCCAGCTCTACCAATAAACCTGTTGAGCTACTCTGCACATTCTCTCCAACTGATTAAAAATCTCAGTTGCCTAACAATCCCAAAATTCAGAAGAGCCTGTTTTTTAGCCAGATTCAATGCCTTCCCAACAGCTGTTACTGAAGGAAGATACAAAAATCAAAATCCTCTTCAGAGACTGTGTCCATATGGAGGAATAACTGAGTTGACAGAACATGTTATTCTCTATAGCCCTCTCTATAGGAGCATGACAGCAATTATTATTTCCACTTTTTAGTACATATCCTGATCATTCCAAGCTGTTTCATCTCATGTTATTATTGGATCAATCTGTTTTTATTTCTCTGACCAAAATCAAGTACTGTTTTATAGTTTGCATAAAAGCTATGGTATTAATTTTAAGCCCTCTCTACACACATATACTCTTTTATTTTAATTAATTATAGCTTTTGTATTCTATTTGCTGGTCTATAACCAAATAAAGATTTGATTGATTGATTTAATAGGCAAATTAAATTCATTTTAAGTTCCACTAAATTATGCCTAAACTAATATTATCTCTCATAATAGGAAATTAAAACTGATAGGAAATTAAAACCTCAAAATATGATTGAATTAAGTTGACTTCATATAAATCCAACAATCTGTAGGAAGAATATATATAAATAGCCCATAAAGTTAGAGTTCATGTATTTTGCAATCAAACACAAAAATGTATATTTATCCAAATTTGTATAACAGTGATAATTCACTGTGTCTGTAGTATATTTTAACTTTTATAATTGCTATTAGATAAATGAAACTTGAGTCCAGGCACCTAAACCCTACAAACTTCCTAAATCACGTAGCAAGGAATAAGACTACCAACTGGGGTTAAAAAACAAAATAACCAATGATGGCAAAGCTAGATTGGCTGATGTATCGTAAAATTTTATTTTTTAATTCTGGTGACCCAATATTAAAGCTGAGGAAAGAAATGACTTTTAATCATCTATGGTGGACATGTGATAAAGCAAAACATTTCTGGAGTACAATTCATATTTTAATACAGAAAATTCTGAAAATGGAGATAAAAATGAAACTAGAACTTTTCCTTTTGGGCTTAATGGAAAAAGAACTGGAGAAGAAATTTGGAATTTTGTTAGTATATGTTGACAGCAGCAAGACTATTGTATCTGCAAAAATGGAAGGACACTTCAATTCCTATTATGGACAAATGGTTGCAGAAGTTGATGGAGCTGGCTGAAACGGCAAAACTGACCACTTTGATTAAAGAACATAGCTACTTTTATTTCCACATGGAGACCGCTTCTGAACTTCGTGCTTGATATGGAAAAGAATGAAACTCTGGCTTTGGGTTTTACAGATTAAACTGATACATCTTTATAGAAATGACTTGTTCATACTATTGTGTAGAAGCAAAAAGCTATGATTTGATGCTAATGCCTTATTTTATTGTAACAGAGGGAGTTGGAAGTCAATGCTTCTTTTTCTTTCCTTATCTTTCCTCACTTCTCTTCCCCCTTCCCTCTCACTGCTCTTCTATTTACTTGTGTATTTTAGAATACTCTATAACTTAATTTTAAAAAAATGTCTTAAAAAACAAACAAACAAAAAACAACAACAAAAAAAAAGAGCAGAAGGGCTTCTCGTGTTTCACTGTCCAAATAAGTTTGCAGTCAAAGAAACAGAGGGATAAGAAGAGAACTTAATTTACCAAGGTGATTGCATCATCATCTTTGGGACCAGAGTACTTGAAAGGTATTCGATGTTTTGTCATTGCTGCAAAATATTCTTTTGCTTCCTTTGAAGTGCTGGTACCCAGACCTAAGGAGACAGAGAATCTGATTAAAAAAATTAGATAAAATAATCATATTTCACTTAATATGCAACTTTTCTTTTTATTTAATTATAATTTCAGTTTCAAGGCTCCCTAATTCTATAGTGATTAATCTGAATTGCTTACAAATAAAAATTTACCTATACCTACTGAGGCCTTACAATGTAAGCACTATAGTTTTTATAGATTAGGATAATACAGAATACAACACTTACTGAAAATATTTTGTCTCCCTCAATTCAATTAATATATCAAAAACATCAAGAACATTTTCATTTGATCTTAGTGTTATGTAGGATAAATTAAGTGTTTTAACATACCCATTCGGCCTCCTGCTTAACATTCAACTTGACAGGTAGGCTGTAGACAAATAACTTTCCTCATCTTTATCTTGCACTTTACATGGAACACATTTCTTGTTTTGATGAGCTAGTTTAAAAAAAATGATGTATAGCCCCCTAATCCCTTTATTCCAAGTAAAGTTAAAATAGTACTATCCAACACAATGTATTCTTTTTAAAATCTAAAGTTAGCCTTATTTAGTCCATTTGACATTACAATTTAGCCAAACCTTTGTAGTATTTGATCTTCCAATTTTTGTAGTTAGGATTGCTGTTCTTCCATTCCTGAAATTCAGGAATGCTATAGAAAGAAATTTCTTCTTTGTTTTTGGAAACCTATGGAAAAGCCAAATATCTCATTTTGAAGAGTTAACAATATAACTAATGAATTTTAGTAAGAATATTTTCAATTGCTAAAGTTATCACTCAAACGGGTGGAGAAGCTTACCTTAACAAGGGGAGTAATGAATTCCTCTAGGAAACGATGTCTCAGAAGAGATGGCCAATTATGGTGAATGAAATTAATCAATAAACCTTTGATATGGGAACCATCTTGATCCTACAAAAACGTTCAGAAGGTAAGATTTCATCCATTGGTGTTAAAAAAGCCAATAATCCTTACTAGCTTTATATTCTGATCTTCTAATTACAGCATTTGTTTGTCAGTTTTGCCATAGTGACCATTATCAGATGTTACATTACAACACCTATAATTTCCAGTCCATTTATAGATTATGAAGTTCAGTGCTTCTGGAAAGAACTAAAAAGATTGTTTTATAGTGCAAAACCAGTTATGATTGTTATTTCTAACAATAAACTCCAATGGATCCACTGTAATTGATAAAGAATTATGATCTAATTTTTCCAGTCATAATCAGAATGCTGCTGTTATAGGATATTTACACAGAAACAACAGCAAAATAGCAATAATAGCAATAACAGTAGACTTATATACCGCTTCATAGGCCTTTCAGGCCTCTCTAAGCGGTTTACAGAGTCAGCATATTGCCCCCAACAACA